CCCGCCCCCCCCCCCCCCCCCCCAAACGAGCGAGGAAAACCTCAGGCACATGTACAAACTTTTACTTTCTCCAACTGCTAAGCGAACATGTCATGGCAGATAATTGATAATGCTGCCTCACTACTAAGGTAACACAACTTCTTCATTAAATGCAGTATAATAAAATACATAGGTTATTTTGCAAGGAAATAATACAATACAAAACGGCGTTTGTTCAGTCATCCTTTTGTTTGTACCCAGGGTGGCTAATTCACAATGTTAAGTAATTGGCAATGGAATTTTAGTGTGAATTAGCTGAGAATTTGACGGTGTCTGTATTTCACCCATTGTAACAAGCTAGTGTTTCAAAAGATAATGGATTTTTTTCTGCTGCTCTCTCTCCCTTGATGGTTTCATGGAGTATTTATTTCTGAGGCCAAGGTTTTCACTGCAACATACTTATTATCAGTTATGTATCCATGAGAAACATATTCCTTACTACAGATGTATTGAAAAAACTAAAGGTACTCTAGGGACTGAGGTCAGAATTCCTGCATTCCCTTCCTGGCTCTGCAGTGGCTGTGGGTTGAATGGGTCCCTGAATGAACCTCCAGAGCGGAGGACTTCTAAATAGAAAACTGTAATTTAAATACTTTGTTTGCAACATTTGCCTCCTCTCAGTAGTGCCTGCTCTTCTACTTTACGCCATTTCTCTATCTTATATGTTTAAATTACTGCTTTCTGTTTTAAAACCCTTGCTCCTTGCAGGTCCCTTCACAGCATCTGACAAAGTGAGCTGTTGCTTACCAAAGCTTATGCTTCTCTGAAATAGTTAGTTTGTAAGGTGCCAGTCTGCCCTGACTTCTGCCACAGAGAATTGTCATCATTATCCTGATGGTTTAAATGGCACTGCAAAAGTGTTTGCTGTGACTTTTAATGCATACTTATGAAGCATGCATATAAAAGGCCTTCACTTATAAAGAACTTGGGCAGCACATGCATTTTTTTTCTTCACCTTTGAAGCTATTATGAAACTTGGTTGGGGTTTTACTTTTGCCGTTAGAATAAGTACAATGTTATATAATGTGATTTATGTAATTTAGACGTGGTCATTAGTTTAAGAGGCGATTTCATTTGATGTGATAGTGGCCATGATTTAATTCAAAGCACTTTTAATTGAACACTCATTACCTGATTTGAAAACTAAATTGGGAAAGGAGCAAAACAACTGTAGTCCATTTTATGCCATAGACTGCAGAACTCAGCTGTCAGGGTCTGTAAATGTTGACCTAAGCATTCACCATTTCAGGTGAAAGACAAGCTGTGTATTAAAAACAAAAAAACCTAGGGAAAAAAAAAGCACCTTAATCTTCAACATAACAAAAGCTAGAAAAATATCTGGGGAAACTGGCAAAATGATAAGAAAAGGAATTAAACTCGTTGGCCTTAGTGCAAAAAGTATTTCCAGACTTGTAGGAAAATATTCAAATTAGTAATAAAGGTAGCCTGTATTAATATAGTGACTTCTTACCTGAGGATCTTGTATCTTGTTTAAAAATGCTTGGTTTTTTTTTTTAAGTGGAAGTAGAGAGAGACGGAGATAAATTTACATAAGGTCACAGAAAGCCAGTTGCAGAGTCAAGAATAGAATTCTGAATCCTGTTTCTCACTCCTTTGCTCTAATCATCCAGCTTGGCTTACCATATCTGTACTCTTTAAAAAATCCTTTTGAATATAAAAAGGAATTAGAAGATGTATGCTAATTGAAGAAACAATGATAGATTATGCCCCTATTTGTTTCCCTTTTACAGAGTATTATCGAAGGTGTTGAAATGTTTTTTTTCTCAGTGCAGTTTGAAGATGATGTATGCAATATCAATTTTTGCTCTTTAGTTTCTTTCCCTTTTCACATTTTATATTGTTTTCCTGTAGTACTGTGAGTTTTCTCTATCCTTTATTTAACCCAGCCTGTTTTGTTCTTTGTCATTGTACTTAGTGCTAGGACTCCTGCTGAATGAGTTTTTAGGTAAAGGAGGAGATACTATAGCAGGAAAAAAGTTGCTAGTATGTCTATGACAACTAAACATCAAAAGAATTGTATAAAAATGTTACTGTGCATTGGATGGAAACATTGTCATATTTTGTGTGCACATGCAGGAACTTGACAAGAGGAGTTGGTAGATTCAGAGAGATATTAAGAGCTATTGAAACGAGAACTACCCAAAATCTGAGAATGGTAAGTATACCATACTACATTTTATGGTAAACACCGTATAAAAGGATTGTTGTAGAGGCAAACAAGTGAAATGACAGCCTGATTGTGTATTGATAAACAAAAGCTATTAACGAAGAACTGCAACTTTGCATGAAATATCTGGTCACACAAGGTCACAGATTAATTATTTTAACATGAATTGTTTTTAACTAATAAAAACAAAGGGGAATGTTTGATCAACAGTGTTCTTCTGTTCAGTGGATGCCCCCTATTTTGCAATTTTACACAGCCACCTACACAGGGAGAAAAGGTGGTTAGCTCTTTTAGTCTGAAATGAATATGGCACCAGGTGCAGCCATATATATACAAGCCTGTCCCTCAGCTGCAGCAGCCCTGCTGCAGCTCCATACACTACAGAGCGTAAGGTTCCCTGGTTTCTTTGGGTGTGTGGAGTATGCCTACCATAGGAAAAGGCTCCCAGGCTGAGAGGGAGGGTGACTTGGCATCCCCTCTGCAAGCAAGTTCCAAGAGTGAGTGCCCAGCTTGCCCTGTCCAAGTCATACCACTACGCTATAAAACCCTGCTTTTGCTAAAGTTGAGCTCACTTAGCGCCCTGCTACATATTTAGATTAAAGCTGGATAAGTTGTTACACATTTTCAAGCACTAACTTTTTATAGCTGGTTGGCTTTTCTTATAGCTGGATAGTCATTTTTATCATGTGATAATTATTTTGCACGTATGGCTGGTCTAAATTTATTGCATGATTAATCAGTTAATTGCATAATATATGTAATGTTTAGCCAGGAGCTTTGGCGTTTTAGATTGAGGTAGACAAATCAAGGTAAAATATCAGGTGAAGGTGGTGATGTGTTGCTCTTGCTGCTGTATGTGTTATGATAACCCTCAGAGGCTCCAGTCAGATTGGGATTCTGTTACACTTAACACTTTTTCAGCATATAGGGAGACTTTATTCCTGTACACTTCGTTTACAATATAAGACCTTAGACCTTTACCTTTTGGATAATGAAACTGAGTTTAATGGAATTACTCACATGCTTAAACTTCTACATAAAATATCAGATGGAAGAATGGTTATAAGCACATGTAGATAAAAGGATGAGAGCATATAGATTAGCTACACACACAGCTTGACAGAAGTATTGATATTTTGCAAAACTAAGTTTTAGATTTTGTGACAAACTATGCCAGTTAAACCAAAACAGGTCATTCTACATGGAAAATAAAGTTTTTTACTTTGCGTTGATTCCTTCACTTTACCACAACAAACCATGTGTATTGACACAGATAGAATAACAGCAAGCTCCTCTGTTTGTTTGCCTTATTTTTGCATGCCAGCTTAGAAAACAAAAGAAATCTCAGGTATCTATTTAAGAAGTTCTTTGAAAGAGTTATGGGGGCTTTTTGTTTTGTTTTAGGTTTGTACTGAATTAAACTGTACGCTTACCTTTTATCCCTGATAAGGAGAACATTGAGTGCTTGAAGCAAATGAAAAAAATGAGGTGACTGTATACAGCTGGTACTTTGTTCAAAAAAGAAAACTAGAGGAAGATGAGATATCCACTAAGATTGGAAACCTTGTGTTCAAATTATTTTAAACTTCAATATTTTTCCCTTGGTATTTTCCCAATAGTTGCACAGTTTCTATTCTACATATTCTCTCCTAGTAATATTCCTGTCTCGCTAACTTTACAGACGATAGCCAGACAGTTAGCTGAAATTCTGTTACGTGGCATGTGTGAACAGAGTTATTGGAATCCGCTGCAAGACCCTCCTCATCAATCTCCTCTTGATGATCCACTCCGGAAAGGCTCAAACACTAAAAATTATGCACTCAGCAGAAGACCACGGGTGTACACTGGAGAAAAGTATGGGTTTACTTCTTACCATCACCATTATTTTTAAATGTGTGGTGTCTCTTTTGTTCAGTTCATTTCGGAAGCTCATGTTATGGAAAAGGAAAGAAGTGTTTGGAGTACCAGCAAAGGCAAATCCTGTACCTTTTTCTCTGGGTGCATTGGAGGATAAGGATGTAAGGGAGCCTCTTTCCTCAAGGGATGTAAAGGAGCAAGGAGAGGACCATGAGTATTTTTTTTTTTTTTTCCTATTATTGCTGAATGCATTAGGGGATGGGAGCCCAGGTGCCTTCTTAATGAACACATCACTGTGCAAGTAGAACATGAGCTCAGGAATTATGGGCAATCAGGGCATACTGATGTGCCTACTATTTCACCCCTGTGAGCTATCATGTACTGCACTGTTCTACTTCTTTTGCCATCCATGCTTTAAGCAGCTTCCTTTGTGGACGTAAAATTTACATGAATGTTTTGAAACTACAAAATGACAGTTTGCTCTTTTTTCCATTAAAAGAGGATGTAGAAGTGTATTTTTGTTTTATGAATTGGATAATAAGTAAATCCAGTTAGGTTTTATTGCTATAGTTGTGATGTTTCTAGAGCTTTGTATTCTGCAGTATCACAGAATTCAGTAATAATAGAGTTAGCAAGGTGAAGATTCATTACATTTCAATGACAAACTTGCAGATTGTTTCTTGACATTTTAAAGGGTGTGTATGTTCCAGTGCAGCTGTCTTTTTAATCCTCTTAAGGCATCTTGGGATTTCTCAACCATATCTGTTTGTTGTTGAATTTACTTTTCTTCCATTTAGTCAGATAAGCAGTACCCTATTATGTTGCACTCTGCTGATTTTTAGTTCAGCTTCGATTTACATGCACAAATGAACACATCCCTTTGCTGAACAAAAGATGTGGTTTTCATTTCCTCGTGCCTTAGTTCCTCAGCACTGGTCATTACTAGTAATACGATGAATATAAGCAACCATTTTCTAAAAATTAATCAGTTTTTTGGGTTTTTTTTAAAGCTTTTACTTCTGCTGTCTCCAAGTACAGATCTGGTTCTAGACCAGGCTTATTTTTCTGGATATGACTGTCACAGTTATACTGACGGTCATCTCAAATAATTGTTTACAATTCAACTAGTATGCTACTCAGTTTTATCACTTATAATGCAGTCAACCCAAATATATGCTGATGAAAACTTTGCACCAGCCTGCGAAAAGACCAAAATTTTGTTAGTAAGTTCTTGTTGGTAAAGCCTTGAATAAGTTTTACACAGGTCATCCAAAGTCTAGTTCTGATAAGTCCTTTACACCACTTTGTATGACATGTACGAGTTGCTTAGTCCACTTCTTCTTGCTTTCTTTAAACCCGTGGAGTAAAGAAATAAGAAAAGAAATGAATAATAATGGAAATCATGATGAGGGCATAGCACAGGGGTGGACAAAATATAGCCCACAGGTCGGATCCGGCCCACTAACAGGTTGGATCTGGTCTACAAGTGGACAAGTGGACACCCACTTGCGTGCTCTCTTGCATTCGCTAGGCTGGGGCTGCTTTCAGTGTGGAAGCAGAAGCATGACCCTGCCTGCAGCTGTAGCACCTGCATCCTCTGCCTCC